TCATTAGTATCAATGGGAGGAATATTGCTCCATCATTGGTATCAATGGAGGAAGTAGTGTCCCATCGTTAATATCAAAGGAAGGAATAGTGCCCCATCCTTAGTATCAATGAAAGGAATATTGCTCCATCGTTGGTATCAATGGGGAAATAGTGCCCCATCATTGGTATTGTAATGATTGTGCACAATAGAAACATGGATGCTGTACATGACAGCCATCTTGTTAAGGTCTCAGCCATGTTGTTTTTCACTTACAATCATCTCTCCTTTCCTCCCTCCACTTGGAATGGAATTTTAAGCTGTAAGTTGTAACAATTTCAGAAGAGCCTCTTATCTTAAATAAAACCCAAATAGATGAGCTCCAGGGCTGTAAACCGCTAATTAGGCCTGGCAGGATGTGTACATTGCAAAGACACTTTCCTCTGCCCTATCATAAAACAATTACTCAGTCAGCCATCACACATGACCTGTTAGGCATTAGGGCTCTAGGAATGCTGAGCTTCCCATAAAACGTCACAATTTCACATACAGTTCATAACATTCAACAGGAACTGGGCACATTAAAATTATATATATATGTGGATAGATCTTTCATGTTGAGCAAGGCAAGGTCATACATGACTATGTTGGCACATAGGAGAGAGGAGAAAGCAGTCTCTACCCTCCTGGGTGACAAGGGTACGCTGTGTTTGGTATCCCTGGGTTTGAAATATAATTCTGAATATTAATATGTCTGTTGCTGGAATTCCACCTGCATGTATTGGAGGTTATTGATATCAGTATGAAATTGTAGTGCGACTCGGTGATAAACTTGATGGCCTCCTAGAACCCATTCCTAAACTGGATGATTGGTCAGTTGTTCTCAGGCGACACCCTTTTAATATCATAGAAAACACTGACAGGCCTGGAGAAGGGAGCTCTCGTTTAACATAAATCAAGAAACATCTAACGGACTTGAGAGAAGGCAACTTTTTTCCTCGGACAACTGAACTGAACTCTGCTAAACCAGGACTTTGCAAGTATTCTGCCTTCCTAACTCCTTTATTTTATTTCTCTGTTGGATTATTGTTCTCTGTATGTCTTTGTAACATTTTATTTTAATTGCACCATTTTGACCTTTTTAGTAATAAACCTTATTTTGACAAGTGTTGAGACTGTCTCTAAAGCTTTTAATGCAAACTAAAGAATCCCTGTCTCTTGAAGAGTGCTACTGTATGTAATAACCCTCTGAATACAGTATATCTGTCTGTGGTGACAGTGTGTGTTACAGACGCTTATGCTAATATCATAGTGTTATTGCTAGGATTTGTGAGTTTCCTCCTTCTCTGTAAAAAGGCGGTGTTGGCAGTGTGACGGGTTAATTGCGTAATTAACCTAACCCAGTAACAAGTGCTCTCAGGCTGCTGGCACACAGATTGTGGTCCCGCGAGCTGGAAAATCTTTGTGCAGGGTGCAGCTGAGAGTGGCATTGTTACGCAAGTGACAGCACGGTGTGAGAATGGCTGGTCCTCCGGTCACGAGTTGGTGAGAAGAGCAGGGGTCAGGCGCCACATTCCATCACAGGTATCAATGAGAGAAATAGTACCCCATCATAATATCTATGAAAGGAATATTGCCCCATCATTGGTATCAATGGGGAAATAGTGCCCCATCACTGGTTTCAATAGGAGGAATAGTGCCCCATCATTGGTATCAATAGGAAGAATAGTGCCCCATCATTGGTATCAATGGGAGAAATAGTGCCCCGTTGTTAGTATCAGTGGGAGAAATAGTGCCCCATCATTGGTGTTAATGGGAGGAATAGTACCCCATCATTGGTATCAATGGGAGAAATAGTGCCCCATCATTGGTATCAATAGGAGAAATAGTGCCCCGTCATTAGTATCAATGGGAGGAATAGTGCCCCAATCATTGGTGTCAATGGGAGGAAGAGTGCCCCATCATTGGTGTCAGTGGGAGGAATAGTGCCCCATCATTAGTATCAATGGAGGAATAGTGTCCCATCTTTGGTATCAATGGGAGGAATAGTGTCCCCATCGTTGGTATCAATAGGAGGAATAGTGCCCCATCGTTGGTGTCAATGGGAGGAAAAGTGTCCCATTGTTAGTATCAATGGGAGGAATTGTGCCCCATCGTTAATATCAATAGGAGGAATAGTGCCCCATCATTGGTATCAATGGAGGAATAGTGCCCCATCATTGGTGTCAATAGGAGGAAAAGTGTCCCATCGTTAGTATCAATGGGAGAAATAGTGCCCCAACATTGGTATCAATGGGAAAAATAGTGCCCCATCATTGGTGTCAATGGGAGGAAAAGTGTCCCATCGTTGGTATCAATGGGAGGAATAGTGTCCCACCGTTGGTATCAATGGGAGGAATAGTGTCCCATCGTTGGTATCAATGGGAGGAATAGTGTCCCATCGTTGGTATCAATGGGAGGAATAGTGTCCCAACATTGGTATCAATGGGAAAAATAGTGCCCCATCATTGGTGTCAATGGGAGGAAAAGAGTCCCATCGTTGGTATCAATGGGAGGAATAGTGTCCCACCGTTGGTATCAATGGGAGGAATAATGTCCCACCGTTGGTATCAATGGGAGGAATAGTGTCCCATCGTTGGTATCAATGGGAGGAATAGTGTCCCAACATTGGTATCAATGGGAAAAATAGTGCCCCATCATTGGTGTCAATGGGAGGAAAAGTGTCCCATCATTGGTGTCATTGGGAGAAAATAGTGCCCCATCATTAGTATCAATGGGAGGAATAGTGTCCCATCATTGGTGTCAATGGGAAGAATAGTGCCCCATCATTGGTGTCAATGGGAGGAAAAGTGTCCCATCATTGGTGTCAATGGGAAGAATAGTGCCCCATCATTGGTGTCAATGGGAGGAAAAGTGTCCCATCATTGGTGTCATTGGGAGAAATAGTGCCCCATCATTAGTATCAATGGGAGGAATAGTGTCCCATCATCAATGGGAGGAATAGTGCCCCATCATTGGTGTCAGTGGGAGGAATAGTGCCCCATCATTGGTATCAAGGGGAAGAACAGTGCCCCATCAGTGGTGTCAATAGGAGGAATAGTGCCCATTGTTGATGTCAGTGGGAGAAACTATGCCACACTGTTGTTTGCAGTGGGAGAAATAATGCCTCGAGGGCCGGATAAAAGTAAGCAAAGGGCCACGTCTACATAACCCAACTATAGGACATTTAGTTTGTTGTATTATAGAGGATTGCTGTTTTTTTCCCATAAAATATTGTTTTAGTCTTTTCTTACATCTGTCTCAGTGTTGCGGATCTCCCGCATCCTCTTTGCAGCCATTGCCTGTTCACATACACCCCATTGATGGCTGCATGACATTTCTCAGGGTGAGTTTTCTGATGGTGACAACACTGGAGCATATCTGTGTAATGTGAGCTGGAATGGCTGCTTGTAGTCTCCATTAGAAGATCATATGAGAGGGGGACAATGCAGGAGAGTAATTCAAAGACAGGGACAGAGTGTTGTCAACCTATAACTCCTCCATGGCAGGATCACCAGGGACTATTATAATAAAGATGCAGAGGTAAAGACTGGGAATGACCATTGAACTTTCTATTAACCCCTCCTGCCTCCTCTCGGCAGCTAGAAGGCAAAACTGTTTATTTTTTGGATAGGGCGGGGGAATTAGAGTCCCTGTCAGTTGGATGTGGGTTGTGGAGAGAAATTTTGGAACAAATAACATGTACAGGTGATATCTATAATATTGTTATTGTTATGATCTATCCATCCACCATGGGTGTGAAACTCAGTGTGTGCAGGACGACCAATCAGGACGATCTCCGCCCACTGCGCTGACCTCTAAGGAATGGAGCCTCTTAACAGAGAATTCCACCTCTCATGCTGGATGGATAGAGGATAATAGATATCATTTCCCCATAATGATCGTACCCAGCACCTTGTCATGATATTGGTACCGATTGATCAATGTTAGTATTGATTGATATTATTATTGATACCGATTGATCGATATTATTATTGATTGACATTATTATTATTGATACAGATTGATCAATATTATTTAGGTTGATTTATATTATTGATATTGATACAGATTGATATTATTGATTGATATAGTCTGATTATCATTGATATTGATACTGGTTGATTGATATTATTATTGATACCAATTGATTGATATTATTTTTAGATTGATATTATTATTGATTTAGTATATTATCATTGATATTGTTACCAATTGTTCTATATTATTATTGATATTGATCGATATTATTATTGATACTGATTGGTCAATTTTATTGATTTAGATTGATATTATTGATAGATTGATCAGTACTATTATTATTGATACCAGTTGATCGATAGTTGATTTATAGATATTATTACTGATATAGATTGATTGGTGTTATTATTGATTGATATTATTATAGATTGTTTTTCGGATTTCTTTCTTATAGAATGATCACCACACGGAGGTCTATTTGCATTACAAAACTTTATTGATCTTTTTAGGTTCAGCAGATTACAGCTTCGGTTTATTAATAATCTATGATATGGATGGAGCTCCGATAGTGATCACCAATCCTATTTCTTTCGCTTCGCATGATCTGTCACCGAGCTAATCGCCCGATCTCCTCCGATGTGAAGAGCCCCAGGATCCAGGAGATGGCATTCATCCCTGGGGCAGGGAGAGAGTCCCTTCAGGAGGGACAAAAAAAAAAGCCTCCGAACGTGGCAGGTCCGAGAAGTTAAGCGGCTAGAATACGAACGATTTATCATCAATAGCGAAGGATGTCCAATCACAGAACTCACAGGCGGGGCCAATACAGGGAGCCTCTAATGAGGGGGAGGGGAGAACCAGGATTCCTATCCAGTGTATGCCAAATCACAGACCGTATCGCAGCCAACGCTCCGCCCTCCATAGGTGGAACACACCAGTGGGGGCGGGAACAGGGTGGAGCTTCAAAGAAGTCACTCGGCGGACAGCCCGCCTCTGAAGCTCACGTGCAAAGACGATTTCCTCTTCCGCCTGAGCTCTGTCATAGATCGGTGAGAATTCCTCAAATGCTTTGTGTCCTGTGTATGCTCCGATCTGACCGACCGCCGTCCGTCCACACCCCACATAAGGTTTTACAACTAGCACCTCCCATCCCCCGACCTGGGCGCTGTAGGCAGAAAGTAGGGTGGGCGCTATCGGGACGTAGGGCAGGCAGAAGTCGGGCGCTATCGGGACGTAGGGCGGGCAGAAGTAGGGCGCTATCGGGACGCAGGGCGGGCGGAAGTCGGGCGCTATCGGGACGCAGGGCGGGCGGAAGTCGGGCGCTATCGGGACGCAGGGCGGGCGGAAGTCGGGCGCTATCGGGACGCAGGGCGGGCGCTATCGGGACGCAAGGAGGGCGGAAGTCGGGCTTTATCGGGACGCAGGGCGGGCGGAAGTCGGGCGCTATCGGGACGCAGGGCGGGCGGAAGTCGGGCGCTATTGGGACGCCTTCTCCCTCCTCCCTCTCTCCCTCCCCCCCCCCCCCCCCCCCCCTCCCCCCCTCTCGCCTTTCCCCCCCCCCCCCCGACGCTCTCCCCCCTCGCCTTTCCCCCCCCCCCCCCTCCCCCCCTCGCCTTTCCCCCCCTCGCCCCCCCCCTCTCGCCCCCCCCCCCCCTCGCCTTTGCCCCCCCCCCCCCCCCTCCCTCCCCCCCCTCTCGCCTTTGCCCCCCCCCCCCCCCCCCTCCCTCTCGCCTTTGCCCCCCCCCCCCCTCCTCTCGCCTTTGCCCCCCCCCCTCCTCTCGCCTTTGCCCCCCCCCCCCCTCCTCTCGCCTTTGCCCCCCCCCCCCCTCCTCCTCTCGCCTTTGCCCCCCCCCCCCCCCTCTCGCCTTTGCCCCCCCCCCTCTCGCCCCCCCCCCCTCTCGCCTTTGCCCCAAGAGTGGGGAGGTGATCGGGGTCACTTGTCAGGGAGCTCGGGTCTCATCTATCTGGTTCTTCCCTCACAGATCTCCAGCAATGTCTTCCACCCACCGACCTTCATCCCGGAGGAGGGTGGAGCCAGCCAAGAGCTCCACCCACAACTACATCACACAGGAGAAGTCTGAGGATAAGAGTGACACCGACCAGGAACCAACCAATTCCCACACAGGTAACGTGTGTCACCCCCTCCCCCCCCCAATCCAATCCCGACATAGGTGCTGGCCCCTCAACTGATTCCCTACATACAGTGGGGATCGAAAGTTTGGGCACCCCAGCTAAAAATTTGTATTAATGTGCATAAAGAAGCCAAGGAAAGATGGAAAAATCTCCAAAAGGCATCAAATTACAGATTAGACATTCTTATAATATGTCAACAAAAGTTAGATTTTATTTCCATCATTTACACTTTCAAAATAACAGAAAACAAAAAAATGGCGTCTGCAAAAGTTTGGGCACCCTGTAGAGTTAATATCTTGTACTGCCCCCTTTGGCAAGTATCACAGCTTGTAAACGCTTTTTGTAGCCAGCCAAGAGTCTTTCAATTCTTGTTTGAGGTATCTTTGCCCATTCTTCCTTACAAAAGTCTTCCAGTTCTTTGAGATTTCTGGGCTGTCTGTCACGCACTGCTCTTTTAAGGTCTATCCATAGATTTTCAATTATGTTGAGGTCAGGAGATTGTGAAGGCCATGGCAAAACCTTCAGTTTACGCCTCTTGATGTAATCCCCCGTGGATTTCGAGGTGTGTTTAGGATCATTATCCATTTGTAGAAGCCATCCTCTCTTTAACTTCAGCTTTTTCACAGATGGCATCAAGTTACCATCCAAAATTTGCTGAAATTTTATTGAATCCATTTTTCCTTCTACTCGTGAGATGTTCCCTGTGCCACTGGCTGCAACACAACCCCAAAGCATGATTGATCCAACCCCATGCTTAACAGTTGGACAGAGGTTCTTTTCATTAAATTCTGTGCCTCTTCTTCTCCAAACGTACTTTTGCTCATTCCGGCCAAAAAGTTCAATTTTAACCTCATCGGTCCACAGAACTTGTTTCCAAAATGCATCAGGCTTGTCTGTATGTTCATTTGCAAAGTTCAAACGATGATTTTTGTGGTGAGGACGTAGAAGAGGTTTTCTTCTGATGACTCTTCCATGAAGACCATATTTGTACAAGTATCTCTTTATAGTGGAATAGTGTACCACAACTCCAGTGTCTGCCAGATCTTTCTGGAGGGATCGTGCAGTCAAACGTGGGTTTTGAATTGTTTTTCTCACAATCCAGCGAGCTGTTCTGTCTGATATTTTTCTTGGTCTTCCAGATCTTGCTTTAACTTCCACTGTTCCTGATGACTGCCATTTCTTAATTACATTCCGAACAGAGGATATTGACATCTGAAAACGCTTTGCTATCTTCTTATAGCCTTCTCCAGCTTTGTGAGCATCAACTATTTTCAGTTTCAGTTTTCTAGACAACTGCTTAGAAGAACCCATGGTGCTGATTGTTGGGGCAAGGTCAGATGAGTCTGGGCATTTAAAACCTTTGAGATTGACATCACCTGGTCTTCCCAGACGATGATTGAGAACAATCCATGACACTGGCAGGTCTCAGCTTTGCAAAGGGGGCAGTGCATGCAATAAATTCTGCAGGGTGCCCAAACTTTTGCAGACGCCATTTTTTTGTTTTCTGTTATTTTGAAAGTGTAAATGATGGAAATAAAATCTAACTTTTGTTGACATATTATAAGAATGTCTAATCTGTAATTTGATGCCTTTTGGAGATTTTTCCATCTTTCCTTGGCTTCTTTATGCACATTAATACAAATTTTTAGCTGGGGTGCCCAAACTTTCGATCCCCACTGTAAGTACTGCCCCCCACCCTAAAACCCATGTGAATTTCTGCCTCTTCAAATCCAGTTTTGTATATCTTAGTTTTCTCTGCCTTTCCTCCTCCATGTGATCTTCTTTCCTTTTTCAGATTTCTCCACCATGTCCTTCGAGGATCTCCTCCATCTACAGAACACAGTGGGGAGGAAAGCTTTCTACAGATCCATGGGGGAGCCTCAGAAGACGATGGAGGGAGAGAAGCCCAAGAGGACGGGGTGAGTGTGCACTGCAAGGGTTGTAATTATGTAACAAGTGTGATTGGCAGTGCTATGGTCAAAGAAATAGAAAAAACTCGAAACAATGCCAATATAGCAAATCATAAATGTCCACTGTCACGGTCCCCCCTGCTTCCTCTCTACCACCCCCCCCTTCCCCATTACATGCCCTTGCACCCGCACGTAGCCCACATAAGTGCTGTGCTGGGTGTCAGGGAGCTGTCTCCTGCTGCGGACCCCACACCTCCCCTCTGCCTAGTGTGGATTTCCCCACATGCAGGCCACCTGGTTGTTGCTGCACGCCCCCCTCTCCTTGTATCGGCCGGCACAGCGCGGCCCGATGTTCCTGTGCTCTGCACCCGCTGGAGGCAAAGACCACACTCCCTGTGTGTGGCTGGAGTGAGGGGGCAGGGCATGTCACCACGGCAACACGACCCCAGGGCGGCCGTTGCCTGGCAACCGGGGAGCGTCCTGCTCCAGAGATAAATACCTGAGGAGGACCTGGGCACAGAGAGTCTCCCCTCTGCTTGCTCCTCGCAACCTAATGTGCTGTGAGAGGTCTTGTGCTGCAGCCAGACCCTACAGCCCCCTCTCCATCCCAGGACCCCTGGACTTAACCCATTGCCTGCCAGAGTCTGCCTTCCTGCTGTGTGCCAAGCTGGACTTAACCCATTGCCTGCCAGAGTCTGTCTTCCTGCTGTGTGCCAAGCTGGACTTAACCCATTGCCTGCCAGAGTCTGTCTTCCTGCTGTGTGCCAAGCTGGACTTAACCCATTGCCTGCCAGAGTCTGTCTTCCTGCTGTGTGCCAAGCTGGACTTAACCCATTGCCAGCCAGAGTTCTGCCTCTCTGCTGTGTGCCAACCTGGACTTAATCTTTGTCCGCCTCCTTGTTTTGCCAGAACTTTGCTATACTCATCGTGTGCCCTCAAAATCACTCAATAAAATCCTTGTGTGTCCCACTGCTCTTTGCATGTGTTCTGTCCCACCTACACCTCCGTCACATCCACCTATGTTACAAATACCATATAGGGCACGTGGTATCAAAACACTATTTGTTGTAAGGCTCCATTCACACTTGTGCAACTCCAAAGTCTCACGATTTCAAAATGCAACTTTGGTCCGACTTTACGCTCTCTGGCACAAAGTCGCATCAAAGTAGTGTAGGAACATTTTCAAAGTTGCTGCAACTTTAGGTTGCATAGATCCGAATGGGTGTCATTGAAAACAATGGGCTATGACTTGTCATGCAACTTTGTGTCCATGGAGTGTGATTGGAGCCTACATTTCCACTGTAGCACAGCACTGTGTGGACTTGGAGCACTGCATTTAATCGCCGTTGTAAAAAATATTGCATTGGAATGTTTCACTAAGTGTATTGCTGGCTTGAATATGATGTCATGTTTGAGTATTTGTGACGTGGACATTTCTGATTAGCTATATTGGTATTGTTTAGAGATTTTTTTTGTTCTTTGTCTGTAACCATAGCGCTGCCAATTGCACTTATTACGTATTTACCACCGGTGTTGCGCATAGTGGGGAGCACATATTGAGACGCTGCTCAGTTAGAATTATACACACATCCGTGGTACTCGTAACCCTACTTTTATTTTGACTGCAATGGTTTTGCAGATGGCGAGGGGTGGTGTGGTAGTAGGGGTCACACTATAGGGGGACGGTCACTCACCATAGACATATAAAAGTATTTCCTGTAGAATACGCTCCTCACATTTTGTGGTTCCGAGCTCACACGTGTGGAGTTTTCTAGAAGATGATACAAAGGGAGAATCAGGTACTTCCGGCAGTTGCCAGTAAAAATGGAAAACCTGATTTATATCAAGGTGGAGCTCAGAATGTTGAGGGAGCACTACAGGGGACTTAGGTGGAGCAGTGGGTTCCCCACAGTGCCTTCTGCTGACCATGGCATGACACAACATGGTGTGACTGTTCTTACTTCTTACAGACCGTTAGAGTTGTCCTCGAAGAACCCCGCCCCTTTCCTGCGGAAGGTGATTTCCTCCAAGAAGACGGTAAGAGAGCAGGGGTTGTTGTAGGAAACGATTTAAATGGGGGGATACTTTTTGACCCCTCCCTCACCATTTTTTTTCTGGCATCCCCTCTGTCCCACACTCCTTGAGCCATACAATCCACCCCCTAAACTGGCCCTTAGGTTCCCCCTCCCCTTAATTCCCCTACCCCCGGGACATACACCCCTTTCCAGCTCTCACTCCACAGACACCTTGATTCTTTTACCAGTACAGAAAATTATATTATTTGATTGCATGTCATCTCCTAGATGCGGAGAGACCCTCGATTTGATGACCTGTCCGGGGAATTCAAGCCGGAAGTGTTTTTGAATACGTACAAATTCCTGGATGACCTCAAGAAGAAGGAGAAAGAGGTTAGCCATTGTTTTGCTGGCAGGGGTGGTGACCCTTGTGGGTCATCCATTATTCATGGTGGTGACACTTGTGGGTCAGCCTTTAGATGCGGGGTTGGTGACACTTGTGGGTCAGCCATTAGTCGCGGGGGTGGTGATACATGTAGGTCAGCCCTTAGTTGCGGGAGTGGTGGTACTTGTGGGTAAACCATTAGTCAAGCTGGCGATGGTGGTGATACTTGTGGGTCAGCCATCAGTCATGGTGACGGGGGTGGTAACGCATGTTATTGGGGACCGTACTCCACATTTGTAGGTAATGTTCTTTTAGCATCCTAGGTGTAATGTGGGCCACATGGAAGATGTCACATGGAAAGCTAACTGCAAGATTGGTGATCTCTGACACTGATTATAGTGGGGAGGGGGGCTCCGTTCATTTCCTGCAGTCTTTTTATCTTGTCCCCGTCTGACCTCAGGTTGTCCAAACGAAGCTGAAGAAGGCTCGAGACCCAGAACTGAGGGAGAAGCTGCAGAAGCTGATCCGCAAGATGGTGAGCAAGGGGCAGTTCCGTGGACAGGGCCTTGTTGAATGGGGTTGAGCTTTCTTTAGGAGGTTGGGGGGCTAAATCTGCAATAGAGCTGCTGGGACAAACTGTTACAAAACTTTGCTGTGTTCAGGATCAGCAGGAAGAAGCTTCACAGAAACAAGAGAAGCTGAGAGAGAGACAGCTGGAGTACAAGAGGCAAATGCGAGAGGATGCCCGCCAGGGAAAGAAACCATTTTATCTGAAGAAGGGTGAGTGTATGATATCATCAGGTGCTTTGTGCATGGTGGGAGACATCTGAAGTAGCCTCACAGATTAAATTCTCTGAATTAATTGTCAACTTCTTTAGAAAACGGGAGTTGAACATCATTTCAGATCACCAGTACTAGAGAGAGTGAGGTGGGGAAAGGCAGTGAGTGATGCAGGAGGGAGGGGGAAACATGGCTAAGCTGCAGATGTAAGGGAGCTGGGGAGTGGAGAGAGTAGCAATGTGAAGAGGGACTCAAGGTGGAAACATAGCCGGATGATGAGGGATGTAGCATTAGGTGTGCTTTTTGGAGAAGTTAGAGTGCCAGGAGGAGGAGGCAGGGTAGTAGGGGGACATAGAGTAGAGGGGGGGGCAGTGAAGTGGAGTAGGGGCAGTGATGGATGTATTGGTAAGAGGAAACCAGGGAGGACAGAGAATGTGTAAGATGGGGGATCAAGGGCTGGTGCCACAGAGGATCAAGAAGTCGAAGCCAGGGAGAATAGAGGCTGGGGGTGGAGCAAAAGCAAATTGAGACCAGGGAGGTGGAGATGGAAAGAATAAAGATATCAGGATGATGGAACTAGAGGGGGTGGGGGTTGAATGGGGAGGAGGAAGGACAGAGAGGCAGAGTGGGAGAGGATAGAGATCAAAGTGGTTGAGCCAGGGAGGATGTAGGTTGGGGAGGATAAAGATTGAAGAGGTGGAGCCGGGGGGGATGGAGATCGACGAGATGAAGTCAGAGAGGACCAGAGAGCATGGAAGTTGGGGGGCAGGGGGGGTGAAGCCGGGGAAGATGGAGGTTGGGGTGAAGCCAGGGAGGATGGAGAATAGAGAGGTGGAGTTGGTGAGGTGGGGCCAGGGAGGATGTAGATCAGAGATTAATCTGGGGTGGGTGGGGAAGGTGGAGCTTGGGGAGGATAGAGATGGAGAATGAGATGGTGGAGCCAGGGAGGACGGAGGGTGGAGCTAGAGAGGACGGAGCTGGGAACAACAGAGGTGACGTTGCTGTGGAGTAATTGGGTGTCTCCCTCTTTCAGGTGACATTCGGAAGGTGGAGATGGCGGATAAATATCGAGAACTGAAGAGGAAAGGAAAACTGGAGCATTTCCTGAGTAAGAAGAGGAAACGTAATTCACACAAAGACCGCCGGAAACTTCCCAACCAGTGAGTGTACTCTGCCTGCCATGCTCCTGCCCCCTCTCCGTCCGTCCTTCGGATATGTTCTCCTGCATAATATTTATGGACGATGTCTGATGTGTGTCCCCTTATTATCATTGGGGGATGGGCAGACAGGTTCTCTTTTTAGAAGAGTTGCGTGTTGCCCGATTTTTTCTTTTTGCACAAAAAATAAATCTGGAAACTGGCAACCGTGGAATGAGAATTACAGTGCGTTGGTGCCATACTAAACTGAAGTCTGCTAGAATTTAGGATGGAGGTTTGAAGGAGAGGGGCATACTACCAGAAACCCACTTACAAATGTGACCTGCTGAGTGTCCCATGTGTGATGTATGTTGGCCAATTAGATTCCTCACTGGGCATCATAGCCAATCGTGTGTCTTCCTTTGGATGAAGTGGGTGGTCTTGGTTTCTGTGCCCTTTTCTGAAATCTTTTTCCGCAAAATAAATTTCACCTACTGCTACCCGCAGGGTTCAGCCTTGCGATATTGTAGACAAATGCTGTACTGTAATCTGTGTCCCCTACGCTGGCAGCCTGAACAGATGAAGTATGTCCTGTATAGGTGAAGAACCCTTGCAATAGGTCCTGTATGGGTAGTATATGTGTATCGGGGTCAGGTGGAAGGAGGGGAGGCTGTATTCTGTTGGGGGTCTACATGGAACAGGAGCCTCTCCCTCCTCTGCATCACCATCACTGTCTCCTGCACTGTGAGGGCTCCTCCCTCTTGGTGTAATCTGTCAGTGACATAGGAGAGTCTCAGGTTCTGTTGGGAGAGTTGCTACCTTCCAGTGTAATCTGCAGTGACATTGAAAATGACATATACATATACTCCTGCGCTGGAGGATGGACTCCACAGAGGCTATAACCACATATGGAATGCCTTAAAGAGTGCACACCTTGCTGCCCTCAATGGACCAGGGAAATCCAAATGTACTGCATGCAAAGAAAACAAACAGAGAACACACAGGCCTAATGCATTACCTTTAAAAAAAAAAAACATTTATTATAATAAAAGTGGTAATATACTCACAATGGACAATAATGTCAAAGGCACATCATATAAAGGATAGCAATGTCCAGTCTCACTGGATGATATCTGTGATGGGACACACATTGGTGCTAAGGAAGAGGCAAGTCCTCGAAACGCGAAAGTCGGTTGCAGATCCAAAATTCCCATCATGGATATCATCCAGTGAGACTGTCCTTTATATGATGTGCCTTTGACATTATTGTCCATTGTGAGTATATTACCACTTCTTTTATTACAATAAATGGTTATTTAAAGGTGATGCACTAGGCCTGTGTGTGTTCTCTGTTTGTTTTCTTTGCTATCTGCAATGACATTGGAGCTAAAGTTTGGCTTCAATGTATTAGTGTATCTAAATCTGCTAGTCCATCTAACACTCCCCTCCCTCCAGACTGACAATGCTGCTGTCCAAAGGTGCCCCTTGTGCTCCTTCATCCGGAATGGCGGCACTCTAATACAAGAGATGTGTTCCTGGCCAGATCACCATGTGAAAACAAAGGGGGGAAGCCTAAAAAAAATAAAACTAGTGCAGCCACTGCATATAATGATTGTAAGCTGCAATATATGGCATTTTTGGGTTTAATACAGCTGAAGTCAGAGGATGAGCCAGGGACAAAATGTACGGTGTTATAAAGACTTCCACATCATTTTCGTGTAAATGGAAATTCGGATCACTTACTGAACTTCTTATAATGAACAATCCTGATCTCTCTGTGTGTATGGATGAATGATGTCAGAGGATTTTGTGACATCGTTAAAAATAATCCACCTTGTGATTGTTCTACAAAAGTCTCTCAAGAAGCCCAATGGATGAGACCGATGGCATGCAGAATCATTGAACATTTCTTATATGTAATTAACACCCACATGACCAAGATCATCTTCTGGTATTTTGATGGAACTGAAGACGGGAACTCTTTGTGGGAATCTTTGCCAGCACTTGGTGAATGTAGTGAGGCTCTGCTGACGTCTCTCACCCAGTTTTCTGTAAGCATAATGGTAGTTTTGTATGTACCGACCCCTGCTTGGTTATTCTTTAGGTTTCACAACATTTACTGAGCTCTGGGGAAAATGAGTGCAGCTTCCCCGGTGGAGTGTGCCATCTGTTGGCCTTTAGTAAATCCCCCTTGATGTTCCCGAACAGTTGACTTTTCTTATGTTTATAAATGAGGGAATATTTATTGCTTCTTTGCATATTTTTGGATTAATAAAATGATTAAATGTTTTTAGTTTTATGCCATTCTTCTTTTTTCTGCATCTCACATTTCCCCTATTGTCTGTAGACATCTGATTGGATCCTCCATGTTTAGACCAGCACTTTATGGCTGATGGACCTCATTATTCACAGCCAGCTCTGAGCTCACTGGACTCCCCGTATACATACAATGTCTCCATTTTGAACTGAATGTCTGATGAGTTTGTGGTTTATGCAATAAAAACTATATTAGGGGGTTAGAATAATTAGTGCTTGACTATAGTAAACCCTGGTTGGTGTGACAGTTTTGTTCTTTAATTTAAAAATTGCACTAAAACTAGTTGTCATCCCATATTATTATAATATTCAACATAGTGTATACAGTGTACAACATGAATGCAGTACAAGGGAACAGGAAAATCACATATAGAGTGCAGTGGTCAGGAGTATAATGTTCAACATTGGGTAAAAAGTGCAGGGGATAGGAGTATAATGTACAGCATTATGTATAGAGTGCAGGGATCAGGAATATAATGTACATAGAGTGCAGCAGTAGAAGTATGTCATATACATAGCCCAGTGCTCCGGTGTAGGAATTGTACACATCGTACAAGGAAGGGGCAGACAGGAGTCAAGAATGTGTAATGCACAGAGTACAGGGATTAGGAATATGTGACACACTTCTGACCTCTGCTCCTTTTAGGTGACACCACAGCCTTCCCCAAGAGGTGAGGGAGGTAACCGAAGTCTTGGTGGGTAAACTGGACTTCTCATTGATTGGACTCAATACTCTGCCCTCAGATTCTTATAATACCTCTGCATTCAGTCTGATCTCATGAAATATACGGTAACTAACACATTTTGAGATTTTGGGACAAAGTCTATGTATAAAATAAGCCCCCTGGTCCTTGGTGGGTGGAGCCAATCTTCTAATAATTATACTTCTATCACAACCATTGCACTTCCTCTACAACCCTCCAGCTGGGATCCTGCTCAGAATCAAGAGAACTCTAAATATCACCCAGAGATAATGACTCCCAGAGACCCTGACAACCAGGGATGAAGGTGGAGAAAAATCACAACATCTGAAGGGCAGAGGGGTGTCATCCTTCCCAACCCCCCAGCTGTCACATATTGTACATACAACCCATTGAGGAATCACCCAAGGTTCTCACAGCCCACACAAGGTTATTGGATTCAGCTCAAGTCTGGAATCCCTGAAATTGCAGAAGACCAGTAAACTATTCCCCACATACACAGGTCAGCGTGAACTTTGGACAAAACTGAACAACTTCAAAAAGTAATAAACTTTATTCCATACTTACCAAAATGGACAAATCTCACCCCGAGCTCTATAAGTTACAACAGGGAGGTATAGTTGCAAGAAAAAGTATGTGAACCCCTTGGGATTACGTGGAGTTTTGCATGAATTGGGCATAAAATGTGCTCTGAACATCATCTAAGTCACAACAATAGAAGAACACAGTCTGCTGAACATACTACACAAACATTAGATGTTGCCATGGTTTAATTGCACATAACATGTAAACGTTCACAGTGCAGGGAGGAAAAAGTATGTGAACCTTTGGACTTAATAGCTGGTTGACCCTCCTTTTGGCAGCAATAACCTCAACCAAACGTTTCCTGTAGTTGCAGATCAGACCTGCACAACGATCTGGAGTAAATTTGGACCACTCCTCTTCACAAAACTGTTTCACTGTAGCAATATTCTTGGGATGTCTGGTGTGAATCGCTCTCTTAAGGTCATGCCACAGCATTTCAATCGGGCTGAGGTCAGGACTCTGACTGGGCCACTCCAGAAGGCGTATTCTGTGCTGTTGCAGCCATTGTTTTGTTGAATTACTTGTATGCTTTGGGTCATTGTCCTGTTGCATCACCCATCCTCTGCGGAGCTTCAGTTGGCGGACAGATGGTCGTACGGTTTCCTGCAAAATGTCTTGATAAACTCTGGAATTCATTTTCCCATCAATGACAACAATCTGTCCAGGCCCTGAGGCAGCAAAGCAGCCCCAAACCATGATGCTCCCTCTGCCATGTTTTACAGTGGGGATGAGGTTTTGATGTTGGTGTGCTGTGCCTTTTTTTTTCTCCACACATAGTGTTGTGTGTTCTTCCCAAACAACTCAATCTTTGTTTCATCTGTCCACAGTATATTTTGCCAGTAGTGCTGTGGAACATCCAGGTGCTCTTTGCAAACTTCAAACGTGCTGCAATATTCTTTTTGGACAGCAATGGCTTCCTCCGTGGTGTCCTCCCATGTACTCCATTCTTGTTTAACGTTTTCCTTATTGTAGATGTGTCAACAAAAATGTTAGCATGTGCCAGAGATTTCTGTAGGTGTTTAGCTGACACTCTGGGATTCTTTACCTCATGCAGCGTTCTGCGCTGTGCTCTTGCAGTCATTTTTACAGGACAACCACGCCTAGGGAGAGTAGCAACAGTGCTAAACCTTCTCCATTTGTAGACCGTCTGTCTTAACCGTGGACACATGAACATCAAGGCTTTTGGAGATACTTTTGTAACCTTATCAAGCTTCGTGCAAGTCAACAATTCTTGATCGTAGGTCTTCTAAGAGCTCTTTTCTGCGAGGCATGGTTCACATCAGACAGTGCTTCTTGAAACCAGTAAACCCAAAAACAGGTGTGTGTTTTTAAAGGGCAGGACAGCTGTCAGCAACACATCCAATATCATCACACTGATTGGAGTCAAGGTTGGCTCACTCCTGGCTCCAATTAGCTCTGGGAGAAG